GCACATCACTACTGGAAAGCTTCAGCCATAAATAAAAGTGTAGGCTGAAAAGCATGAAAATGCGTTTGGGTCTGTTGTGGATCTTTCACATATATCACACCAAAAGGACTAATAAAAGTACCAAATTTCAGAAAACAGACACAGCAACTTACTCCAAACAACAACTGTCAAGTCTTCCGTTAAATTTTACTGTTATGAAAATGCTGTAGGATGTTCTTTTGAAATTTATTAGTTCCTGTTTTTGGTTCAGTCAGAGATTACACAAAAAACCCAAAAAAGACATCATGAAAAAAAAAAGGTTTAAATTAACTTGTGCAACAATTTTTCACATGAAAAATGAAGCTTTATCAGAATAATCCGGGAAATAACTGTCTATTATGCCAGCTATGCAAAACCCATATGGTGACTTGAGCAACATCCTCTTTTTTCTTTACACTGAAAATAAACAATAAAATCTATGTTTATTTTATATATTTTTTCACTAACTGAAACAGACTCAAAAAGAAATGTAACTTTTGTTCTGTTTTTTTGTGTAAAGCATGAGGGTATCTAAAATTAGAATAAATAAAAAGGCAGAAACCCCAGTATTCTTTTGGAAGAAAAGTATATTTTGCTGAGAATATGTAAACATGATATTAATACACATAAATGCAAAAACATAACATCAAACACAAATCATCAAACTGATATGGGTTAATGACATTTCTAAGGCATAAAACAGGAGACAAACATACTAAAATTAAACTAGCACAAAGCTACAGATTTTATTTCCATGTTTTTTTCCCATGGTTCAAATTTTCAAATTGAGATATTTTCCTCACATGGTATATTGTGGTTATTTTCATATCCTAATTTCATTAAAAATGATTCCTAATAAATTCATACAACTTAGACTTTTTAGTTTGCTAAAATTTTGTTAGATATACAAGCAAATTACTCAAAACTCACGAGCTTAGTGTTAAGTGAAGACATGAGCTGTCTACTGATTACCACTTGGTGATTTGCTAGATTACTTTATGGAGGAAGAAATCCTGGGCACCCAGACATATTAGCTATGTCTCAATTCAGGAGTTGCATCCTTTGGAGGACCCGGCCCACATAGACTGCGAAGGCCGGGTCCTCCAAAGACCGAGAAGGCTGGAAATGTGAACCTCTGAAATGGGATGGTCTACCCTTCAGATTTGCATCACCACTGTCTCGGTGGAGTTTAATAAACCCAGCCGTATGTTCCTTGTTATCTAAAATATAACAGGACATTGGAGTAAATTCTCGACCATCTCACACTTTTGTTTTTATCAGTTTTCTGTTTGATGTTTATTCAGCTGTATAAAAACTGTAACTTTAATCTCAGCCAAACCGATTTACTCGCAAACAAATAAAACACTGAAAAAAGCCAAACAATACAATTTTAAAGTTATCTTAGTGACTTATATATCATGTTTAACCTGAGTAGCAAGAGACCCCGCGGGGTCTGAAAACGATGTGCCGGGAGTCCGGTGTTAGCCGGCTCTATTGAACCTTGACCACCCGGTCACCTATCGAGTTGGTGGGTAACAGACGTCTCCGAAAACGTCGGAGCACTTTTGCAAATATGTGATGTCTCGATAAACTGAGCAGATATTTGAAGTTTACACAGCTACATTCTCACCTAAAAATATGGGAAAAACCTATCCCAGAATTGGACCACGAAGGATACACCCGACCCATCCTTCAAATACAGCGAAATGAAGGATGCATTCATCGGCCACATTTGGAGCAGCGTTCGAATTGGGACAGCCTTCGTTGCCTTTCTGTGACATAATCGGCCTTGAAATGTGGCCTCCGAAAGATGCAGCCCCTGAACTGAGACACAGCCACAGTGTGCTATTTTCCACCGTTTATCTTCTACTGATGAGGAGGACGTCACTACGTTGAATTATTGAGGCAATTCTTCTTATTGGATGAAAAACAGAGAAATCCAAGGTAACCGGTTTGGATCAGTATGAGGCAGAAAGGTGAGAAAAACAAAACAAATCAAACAAAAAAGAACAAAAAACCTAGTATAAAAGTGTGTTTTCAGTGCCATTAAAACCCACTAACAATGTTTAATAATAGTTAAATAGATGCATGAAATGAACCTTCAATTCAGCCAAAATTACTGAGTTTTGGTTATGTAAACTATGAGCACGATGACTGATGCTACCTCACTCGTGCATTAACATCCTAATGAGAGCGTGTGATCTGCATGTTGGAATACGGTTACCAAGAAGCCTTGATCATTTTAAGATATTATAATGTAACATTTTCATAAATAAAATAGCTTGTTGCTGACGAAGCTCCTGTTAGTTTACCCAGTTATTGAGTTGTTTATAATGTTTATATTTACTTTATGTATTCGTTTGTGTATTTCTGTTCCTAGTTCTCATTTGCTTCAGAGTTTAGTTTTTACCTGAGTGTCCCTTCCTCTTGTGTCTAGTCTTTTGTATTTAGTCCAGTCATGTGTCTGTTTTCCATGTTCATTTATGAGTTCCTTATGCTTTTGCTTCTAGTTTTGCAGCCATGACTTATTCTGCTGTCTTGTTCAGCTGTCTCCACTCATATAATCACCCATTTAGTCGCCGTCTCCCCTTTTTCTCATGTCAGAATGTCTGATTGTATTTCAAAATCTGTTCGACTTGCTTCATTTTTTTTTGGTATCTCCGGTGTGTTTTCTGTGGTTAAATATTTCAGTCTGTGTATTTCTTTAATTTTAGGTTTTATTAGCTGTAGCTTCAGTTTCACTTTTTTGGATTGTGTTTTTTGCCATTTTGGCTTTTGCCTTTTTGGATTTCAACAGCCTGGAAATTAATAGCTTACTTTAAAATTTACCTCACTCTACCTCTGCATGTCTGCATATTGGTTATCCATTCAATATTTAGTCTGCATGTCTTGCAGATTACGACAGTTAAATTAAATGCAACCACAGTTTCCTGAACAAGAGGACTGATATCTGATACTTAGTTTGTGACTTTATTTAACAGAAGTGGCTCTGAAAACAGCCTAACATTATGCACTGTATCATTTTGGAGTCTTTGCAGTTATATTTCTATACTAACTGCACTTGCAAGTTGCATAAATTTAACAGAAAATATATTGGGTGTTGTTGTTCAGCTTATTTTTATTTTTTTTTACTGTTGCCTTGCTTAAATGGTTGAACTGCTGCTATATCAGCCTATAGCATCTCTTGCTCTCACGGTCAGTGCACAACCTGTATCTTGGTTTAGATGTTCAGGCCAAATGTAAAAAAAAAAAAGAAAGAAAAAAAGAGGTGATTGTTTTCATATTGCAGCATGTGGGGAAGCAAAAGGGTTGCCCAAGTGATTTTGTTTTTTCATGACATGACTGGACATGACATGGTTTTTGTAAGGCGGCGTCTCTTCTTGTTTTTTAATCTCCAAAAACATCACAGCTTTTTTGTCACACTGAAACTCAACAGAAGACATGACAACTGATGCTTACGGTAAGTTTATCAGTACTAGTTATACTCTGAATTTGGTACTTAATTACGCTTCATGCTTTACTACTATACAAAAACTAAAGTACATGTTTCTCTCATTTAAGGCAGATTTGCTAAGCTAATGTGTTTAATTATAGTTCTCTGTGTGTGTTTTCTAGAAAATTAAAAATGGAAAACAACATGACAACTAATGATGGAGTGAGGGATCCTGTACATTACAGTTGTACAGTTGAATTTCCAATTTTTACCGGGACTTTCTTCATCTTAATCTTCATCAGTAGCCTCATAGGCAACAGCCTCCTCTTATGTGTTCTTTTCATCTACGAGGGCCTGAAAAGTATCACAAATATTTTCATCCTGAACCTGGCCTGCTCTGATTTGATCTTCACCATCACACTTCCATTCTGGGCTGTTCATCACCTACACCACTGGGTCTTTGGGGACTTTATCTGCAAATTCATGACTGCTGCATTCTTTGCTGGTTTGTACAGCAGTGTCATTCTGCTGACTGCCATGACAGTGGCCCGTTTCATTAGGGTGGTGCTGCCAAACTGGAAAAATAACCATGCTATAAGAAAGAAGTGTGCAGTTGGTGCTTGTATAGCTGCCTGGATCATCAGCATCTCAGCGTCCCTGAGTGATGCAACAAAGGTAAAGGTTAAAAGCCGGTTTGGTAAAAACTATTGCTATGATGAATCTGAAGACAAGCTTGGACGTTATCTCCAAGTGTCATTGCTATTCTTCCTCCCATTTGCCATCATTATTTTCTGCTACTCTGCCATCCTCAAGACAGTTTTACAAGGTTTAAATAGAAAGAAGCACAAGACTATAGCTGTGCTGTTGTGTATTGTTGCAGCCTCTTTCATTTGCTGGGGGCCATACCATATTATGCTTTTAATCAAGTCTCTCAATACAAACAACGATTGTAAGGTACTAAAATGGTTAGAAGTTGCCTACAATATCTGTGAAATGCTTGCCTATTCTCACTGCTGTATGAACCCTCTGCTATATATGCTCTCAAAGAAGTTGCGAAAGCATCTTTTAAATCTTTTGCGCTGTAAAAATGTGCGCAGGAAGAACAGGGAGAGAGACACCAGGCAGAATGTGGCTTTCACTGCTGACAGTCCACATAGTCAGCCATTAAATTAAA